TGAAAAAGCATCATTATTTCACTAAACATGTGATCAACCCAATATCCTTTTATATGTACAATTAAAAGTCGAGCTAATAGAGTTCTGAAATGACCACAGATAACACAAAACAAAAAGAATTAATCATAAAAAAAACATTAAAAGACAAAACGAGATTTCTTAAAATATTATTTATTTATTACTGACACTAAAATAGCAAGACATTAATGGATACTGCAAGTATTCGTTCTCAATTCGAGAGCATCTCGAACAGTAGACGAGTTGGCTTCATTAAAGTGACGAGGACCGGTGAACCATGCCCTTCATCAAGGAGACGTAAAGGACATTTTTTAAAGCTGTGCCCGCCCCTATCTGGACAAGTTGAAAAAATATCGATACGCGCCCATGTAGTTGCGGTTGGTCCCTGAGAGTAGCGCACAATAAAAACAATTTCTCAACTGCTCATCTTCGAACACAGCTGCGGGTCCAAAGCAACATATGAATAAATTTATCCGCCTAACCACGGCTCAAAGCTAGGCACGTTAAAACCGGCGATCAAACTCTCACCGTGTTTAATTTTTTAAATGTCCTGTAATGGTCGTCAACGACGAGCGAAATTACAAAACTTGAACTCATATTTTTGTACATGCGAATTCTCAATATTTGGTGTCAAAAAGTAGAGTAAACTTGAACGTTAATAAATATTCTTCAAGATGAGAAATCAGCGGCAAAGTTTCAGCACGAGATACCAGAACACTAACCAAAGCTCCTAGTGTTTGTTCTAGTCAAGAAATAGTGCAATCAAGCTTACGCTTGCACAATAAGAATACGAAGGCGTGAAAAAGTGTGTAATTGTGACCCAACTTCTAGTTCTAAGACAAAACAGAATTCACGGCCACGAGTTAGCATTGAAGTTTGGATTGCACAAGTGGCAGGTAAACGTGAGGTACTCGAAGCTGAACAACGGAGACTAAAAATTGGTGGATATCTTACGGATCAGCGAGCGACGCCCGAATACCGCAGACCTCAAGAATCTTGAAGGTCGAAACTCGGTTTATACGCCAATTTGCAGTCGTAATTTTACAGCTCGAACTTCGCAACGTGAACAATTCTTTCGAGGCGGTACTTTAGTTGGACCGTCTATACTCATGACAAGTTGGCATGTGGACTTGGCAAAAGTTTATAGCCATACATAGAATAAAAAATATGTAATAAAATACAGTATATCATTTGCGAAAGCTCCAATTACAGAAAGTTTTTCCATTCATAAGAAGAAAAAAAACTCAAGAATAAACTCAACGTATAAAATTTTTTGAAAGAATCAGTAAAAGTGGAGGAACATACGAGCCGATGAGGAATAAAGTTGGACACTACATGAGAGAGAATAACGCACTGTGTGTGCTCTGGTATTGTGACAGCGGCCTAAAGTGCAGCCCAGCTTAGGCCTACGGGAGTCTCGGTTTTCATGGCACTTCCTTCCACAAGAATAAGGGTACACCGACGCTTTGTTCAGAGTCGAACGCTGCTGATGTTCGTCCGTAACACAGCTGTTCTCTCAGATGCTCGTATATACGATTAACAATGATTAAAAGTAAGGCGTGAAAAAAGTTACCAGGCTGCAGGCCCTAGCAACCAGCATTACAACTACATTAGCATAAAAACAAGTACTGGCGGAGGCCAGTGAGGATCAAACCTTGTTTGCGATCACAATTCATTCTGCATTTTCCTGCGACTTGCTTGAATCAAGAGGACGTAAAACATGAGCGTGACTACCACGAAGAATGCAGATAACTACGCTCGTTTCAGTCAGCGGAGTTTAATGTTAACTTGGTAACTTCAGTGATTTTTGAAGACTGAAGGTCGGAAGAGCGTCAAGTTGGCCAGTGTTATTCCTCCTATTACTGGTAAGACAGTAACAAAAGGAATGTGCCATAGGACAGACACCACCAACTGTGACCTTGCAACTAATCACTCCGCACAACAAAATTTGGAAACACTACAAAGATATCCAAGCAACTCGGCCTTGATACGTTAGTTTTTTTGCAATTTATGAAGTAACAAAAAATGATAAGTTCGTAGAATCTAAATTAGTTGAGTATTGTCAACCGAAAATAGACATCATATCAATTAGAAAACTAACAAGAATACACGAAAATTATTGTTGGCACGACGGCCATAAACAGGGCCCGCAAACGTGGCTGTTGGGAGGCGGTGCTGCTCGGCCGCGGGGCTCGGCCAGCTGCGCATGGTTGATGAAACAGGTTAGCATCGGCTTCACTGTACTACGCGAAAACTTCTATTTTTAGTCAAAAAGTTCCAGGGAGCTGGAATAAATTAATTTTTGTTCGGCTTAGAGTAGATGTGAAATTTATCGAATGAAGAAAATATAGGAAGAATAGCTCTTCCTGTAGCTGAATAATTGATTTCATTTAAAACATATATTTGTGCTTCATCGAGGCCACAAACGCGTGAATTAGTGATAACATAACATAGTGATGTCGGCGCTAAGGAGTAGGCCTGGTGTGGCATGTTCAGGCTCTATTGCAGGCTCTAACCTAAAAAAATTACAAAGACATGCAAATTATTAATTCAATACAACCAAAGTTTCGCCGCGAGTGCTCATACACGACTTGACAATTTTATCACGCATTTCATAATTATATTTCCGCATGAAACGCATGGAATTCTTCCAGACGACGTTAGTCGTGCGTGATAGGTCACGCCGAACTCGGAAGCAAACAATGCTCAGCTCACGACAAATAAGGAGCAATATAATTATTAGCGTCTAGTGACGCCCAGTTGGGGACGAAGCTCCAGCATGCAGAGATGCAATCCTCTTTACCTTAGAAAACTCGTCGGGCTAAACTATAGCAGTGTATACGCCAGACAGCGAGTGCAATGAATTGTGAATTACAGGCAACATGCTCGGTCTGGAGCGTCACTGTGTGTGATGTCACCTTACGAACTCATGACATATCGCGCTCTGTTCCCAAGCAGAAAACAAGGAATCTTTCGCGCGGTACAGATAAAGATATTTCAATCGGTGCGAGTACAGAGAAATGAGATGCACAAAACTGTAAAATTTGATTATTTTGGAAACCCATGATTAAAAATTTTTTGGGACATGGCATCCCAAATCGTTATGCACATTGTGATCCAAGATAGATATTGCGTTACTACGATAATAGGCTATGAAATCTTCGATACCTAATTCATCAGAGGTTCCAATAAGCAAATATAAACTATTCTTAATTAATTGGTGATACAAATTAAAGCAGATGTGGTGGTCATTAGTGGTTTTAATACGTAGATATACTCCATAATTTATTCATGACTGAGATGATTTATTATTATTCGTGGTTTATCTGTTATTATTCCTGATTTATCAATAAATTAGTGAGCAATTCATACTTCACCCTCTTCACCTGTTCAAAGAAGCGGATATCATTTTCTGCACCGACAGCCACACAATACAAATCACATTTCACATGTATTATAAATGACTGCGATACATTCAAGGCTAACACTTGGTCGTAAAGCTTAGAAATTATTCACTTCAAGGCAGATAAGCATTGAGTTGGAGACCATGAAATGCTCCAGATCCACTGAGCTGAAACGCGCAGCCACTATTCCGGGTAACTATTTTAATTTAATTTAACATGTAATTAATTAATTACAGGTTAAATTTAATTTAATTTAACCCGTAATGACAGTCTTGAAGAAAATCAGATTCGATATTGCACTGAATTACTTACTGCGTATCTAAATGTGGCTGTTATACATCGCTTAAATGTCTCGTCAAATTCAATTGTATGAAATTTGACTGTCTCGTCAAATTGAGGCAAAATTTATGTGTACAAATTAATTAGATGTCACACAACCAGAAATAATAAAATATATCAAATTAAATGATCGCTCGTCTGGCAGTATTGATCAAGATAGGGTCTGAAAATTAACTGATTATTTAGCACCAGAAAAAAAGCTGCGTTGTTCGTTCAAAATGTTCTTCTACACAAAAACATTTCTAAACTACATAAATTTCGAAATAATAAAACGAACAGTAACAGATAGCGGTGTCCTTGATAAATGCTAAACTGTTACTGATAACGTATCATATGCTCCCAATATGAACCTCGCGGACTCTGCGGCGAATTTCACGAGTGCCGAGATGTTATCACAAGGCATATATACAGAGTACTGTAAACAACTCGTGAAGAGACACGCGGAAGACATACTCAACGAGACGCAGATGTTACATAGCGCCTTTCTGAGGCAACGAGTTTTCTCACACACCAGCAATAGCCAGGCAAACTTGTGAAAACCACCACAACTTCATTCAGTTTTTCAGTCAGATTAAGAACAACTCCAGCCAATTTGAGGTACAAAAACCCACCAATAAAAAATTATCTATACATTAATAGGCCTGCCAACTTATTCTATTGTCATTCAGGACCTATTTTATTGCAATGAAATGAACAAATAGACCACCAGATATTTTCATGTCAAAATCTATTTAGCGAGTATTCCGATTTTGCCTAAAATCTTGGGCGCTGTTTAAGCAATTTTTGCCGTCATTGCCAGAGGAATAAATTTTACTACCAATTCTTTCAATTTTTGATTTTGCAACATAGACTTTCCATTTAATATTAATTTCAACTATTGTATTAATTTAACATGTTAATTCAACATGTGCTTTTTGTAATTTTTGCGTAGGTAATTTAGCTTCCTAAAAAAACTACTAGTGTAAGCCTGACCATTTTTGAGTATATACACTAGTAGTACTCGTGAGGTTTGGTACAACTTTCACAGTGCTGGGAAAAAAAAAGAAATGGGGGATCTAAAAGATATGGGGGAAAAAATTGAAAAATGTTTTTTTTTTGAGTCCGAGAATATAAATAACGACGTCAAGAACATTTATATTGACGAAGAATCGAAAAATTTATGCTAACATTAATGATACTAGTATAATTTAAATATAAGATCAGATATTTAATTATTTAGTTGATAAACAAGCTTCTCACCTCAAAGTCCAGTAGATATCAAAGCACATGACGTTAAGCCAGAAGAAAGAAGCCAAGAAGCTGATGTGGATGATGGAAGCTGTCAAGGAAATTAACAATGTCATTATATGGCTTCACTGAAAGAATAATTGACTACGTTAAGAACACAAACGGCAAGAGAAATGAATAAAAAGTGTAAGCATGTTGTAAATTATTCTCATGATAATCGATAATAATTAACACCTACCGAGCGTCACATTGATGAATTTTCACAAAAACAATGTTCAACACGTTCAACGTGAAGCTCACTCATGCACAGACTGATTTGCGCCTATGGTTGACTGAAAAAAAAACACAAGATGTCAGAAATTACAGTAAAATGCTGGTCCTCACCCATAGCAATGCACCAAGGCATGGGCAGCTTGCTGGAGCCCCACTGCACGACGACGAGGCTGCTGTAGGCGACCAACAGGGAAGACACGTGCGACAACAAACTCTTGCCGTGCACCTTTGCATGAAGTTCTGGCACGATGGCGTACACAGCTAACGTGATGGCCAAGAACACGCACGATATGATCAGCAGTGAAGGATGCAGTACATTTGATACTCTATCGCAGTTCGACATCTTCTCGACACGCTCTGGAAAACAAACCATGGCTCGTTCCGCGAAGTTTTCGCCGTTATCCGTGAAATGGTCTACGCAATATGACGTAGAGGGTATGGATAAGTTCCACACAGGAACGTATAGAGATCCATTAGACAATAGGAAGAACTTATCATCGCTTTGTTTAGCGGGATCTAGAAGGAAATAGTGGCAATTGATGGGGATACCAGAAATTGGTAGGTAATCATCGGGACGGTCCTCTCGTGCTTGTAGGCCGTCCGCAGTGAAGTGATGAAACTTAGGTTGCCATGTCATGTATTCTTGAACTTGGTCCAGACATTCATGAACTGAATTATCATATATCGAGCCCGGACTACAACACTTTCTCACACACGTGGCATTAGAACACATTTCCAAGTGTTCCTTCAATTTATCTTTGAAACAGAAGGATGCCAAATATGCTGAGTCTCCAACAGTCTTCGCGACGCAGTAGTTGGGCGAGATTCGGACCTCAGGTGGCGTTCCTTCCTTGGTCCACGAGAGTAACACTCCGCTTATGGAATATATTAAATTACTCTTCTCCCCTAGCTTGAACCAGAGATGTTGCTCGTCTTCCGAACACACAATGGGATTGAACGAGCTATTTATGAACGTGAACTTTATATCTCGTGTTAAAACAGGAGGGAAAAATTCCGTTTCCTTCATTTCCTCGCATGTTTTCGATTCCATCATAATGCCCTGTCCTTCCGAGCAGCAGTTGGGTACATTAGGAGGAAGCGAACAAGATTCAGCTACCCATGACAACTCTCCATTCTCATCGTAAACATGTTCAATACAGAAATCCCCATCATTGAACATAACCTGAGACAAACTATGAAGTAATTCAGTGCCCATAACAAGATAAAATTCTCCTCCAGCGAACACATTCTTTACTGAATTGCCAGTGCACACAACTGGAGCCACTTCAATTTCGCCGTACCACAGCGGTTTCGATTCAACGGGCGGTGAATTTTCATAGTTCAACACGCCTACGATTGTATCTTCAGTGTGCTCAACGCACTTCTCTTCACTCCATACCTGACGGGGTCCTTTACAATGACATTTTTTCAGCGTCAATAATGAATAGAACTCAGGATGCGAGATACCAAAGTCTTCTAATGAATGCACCAGATCGTTTGCTCGCTCTGAATTTTCATGAGTGATATTCACAGTAGACCGTCCCAGGACTTCTTCACCTACAGCGTGCGGCGATGGCTGCTGCTCCAGCGCATCACCAACACACAAATGTTTAACACACACATTTAATACTATCGCTAGTAACAGTAAATAGTTCATTTTGAATTCAATTCCGTTGTCTAGGCGTAAAACTACACATAATCTACCACAAATAATGAATTTGCCTGTTGGATTACGAACAAAATGAGGAATCACATTAGTCTTAGAGTTGGGAAAATGAATTGTCACCACAAGATGGAATTCACCAAGTCAAACTACCGACAATTAAAACGATTCTAATTTGTCCGAGTCCAATTAAGTTCTACACGTTGCAAAAGTTACCGTTTACAACACGATGTTCCCCAATTTGGAAAGAATACTTTTTCCTTCACAACATGAGCAATTACCTACTATCGCTTACAAGATGGAACCTGGATTGTTCCATTACACCATGTAATACTTTACTAATAAACCGTACGTGCATCCCGAACCATGTAAAAATAAAAAGTAACATTTTTTGCGCCAGCAGCTCCACACAAAAATAACGGCTGAATAATCAAGATGAAAGAGAAGCTTGGCCATGAAAGGAAACGCTGAAAAGAACCCGACATAGGAGACCGTTTTACAGATAATGGGCGGGGCATGGAGCTCATGCAGTAGGATTCCGACATCACAAGCCCGCAACATCATGACGAATTTATTAAACAAGTCTCATTTAAACGGTAATTGTTAATGTCAGCTGAAAAAATTTTCAACCTTCAGAAACCGTTTTAATAAAACTGAAAAAGAACTTGACGATGACTCTGTGTAATTCTACACATTCCAACCTAATCAAAATGCGACTGTTGCGCAACTGAACAGGTCAGAATTTACTGCTGAATTCTGAACGCATTTTCAGGAAGTTCAGAACAAAGGTAATTATCAGCAATGCTCCGCGGAAGAAATCATGAAAGATTTATACGTCATTTTATTTTCGATTATAACGAAAATCGCAACTTTAGCGCAACTGAAAAGCTCACAAGTGCCTCAATTCTGAACGGATCTGCATTATATTCAAAACATAACTTTAGTAATGCGCCGCGAGATGATTTGTTGCAAATTTTTTTGTTGCTGCGTTTTCGATTAAAACAAGATTAAAGCTAAGATAGTTTATATTATAACGATGTAATAATAAATAGCCTAACCTAACAATCCCAACCTATATTACCATAACCTAATTTTTGAAAGTTTCATCCTAATCGAATAACGGAGTACCCTAACGTAAAAATTTGCGACGATTCCTACCGCAGGGTATTGCTATTAATAAAAAATTATTTAAATTTCATGCTGATCCGTTCAGAATTGAGGGACTTACGAGCAATTCCGTCAAGCAACATCTGCGGTTTTTTAGTTTTAATTGAAAACGAAATTATGTAAAAAAAAATCTTTAGTAATTCCTATCGCGGCGTATTGCAAATAATTAATTACGTTGACATTTTCAGGGGAATCCGTTCAGAACTATAAGAGTTATAAGCTGTTCTTTGAGCAAAAGCTGTGTTAGGATTATTCCTTATTCCGAACTCCCCTAGCGAGTTCGGAATAAGTGGCGGTTCGGTAACATTCAGTAGCGATTCAAAACGACGCCACGTCTCTGGAAAAACTGTATGCATATTAACTGAATTTTATGAATAAGCTAAAGCACATTTGATTAACTGAACTTATTACACACGTATACTAGTTTTAGACACTTTAGAGCCAATCAGGTTCTTTCCGTCATTACCTACTATCAGTAATCAGTTTCTTATCACGCGAGATTATGGAGGTAACGCGATACGAATCACGCATAATCTCAGCTCTTTATCGACGCTAAGACCGTCGCTCTATGTACGTCGTTAGAACTAAGTTCCAGAGCTAACTCTGTTCAAACTAGCAGGCTAAAAGAGAAGTAACCTAAAATGGGGAGTTAGATTATTATTTCAGAATTTCCATGGCTCCATGCCGCGCACGAAGGCCATTAAATTTGAAGCAACCAAACACTATCTTTTAACATAAAAATAAAGAACGTCACTTAATGCCTTTACTCAGTAATTTCTGTGAGAAATTCATACCAAAATGCGGTTTCTCGTTTGTACGCTAGTGACACTAATAAACAAATAACCTCGAATCAAATGAAGAGATACAACAAATATTAATTCAAGGACGGAAGCCCTTGCCTCATAAAATGCCATATTTACCTAATAGCCTGCTTTACTATTTTTCTTGTCGTTCCAATTTGGTAATTTCCAAGATGGTAAGCCTCCACTCCAACCTAAACTGAAACAATGCTATCAGAGTGGTGAAGTCTGAAGAGAAGTGGCGCTACATTACATTAAAAATGAACACGTTCTTGAGGTGGATGCTAATCACTTTATTCCGAACGTCAGAACTCGTGGCCTTCAGTATAGATAACTGACATATCACAAAATATTAATTTCTAATTTGAAATTAGGGTTCTAAATGCCGGCTAAACTGAACCAAGGGGCTACGCAGGCTACAGCAGACAAGGTTATCATAGCATAGCGAAATCCATTTACCCATACCTTTTCACTTCTAACTTGTTGAGACCATACTAGCGGTATATAAGTACGCTCCTTCACACATAAAAAAATTATGTAACCAAATACCAGAAACGATTATCACCGCCGACGAATGAGCGAGACACAAGGGATTCAGAGACCTTCACAGACCACACCAGAGAGTCAATGTCGCACAACCTAACTTGATTCAGTCGCACAGCATACTGAACGGGACGAATTTAGGAATTGGCGGCTGGCGCGCCCGCCTCGGGCTGGTATGGTGGGAGTCAATGACGAGCGTTAACATTTAGGGCCGATTGGCTGAAAATTTAAATATTTAAAATACAACACACTTGAGTAATTAAGAAACAAATCAATATATATACCTACCGCCAACTTTCAGTCTACGCATTTTGTTTCGTTCTCAGTTTCATCAAGTCTGTGAACTATGATAAGTTGATTACCATAACTTCTCCGCAGAGAGTGGACACGTTTTGTAAAAATTTTGAGAGGAACTATCCCAAAGAATGGGCACAAGTTACCATGAGACCATTGCCGATCGAACGACTGAATTCAAATGAACTAATCAAGTTCAGTCGAGACTATGAGTTTAAAGATATCGGTTCAAACTTCTTGAGCAAACACACATCAAAATTATCAGGAATATTTCAAAATAGTATTTCACTATTTTAATTTATTTTGAATGAAGGAAGCAATTAAGAATTTGCCTATCAAATTTCAATAAGATGTACAATTTTTTTGCGTTGGAAAGAGTATTTTTAGGTCCAAGTTATACCTATTATATGAAACGCCTGATTGATTTTCTCCTTGGGGATTTCGATTTTGGGAGAGTACAGACGTCAACTTCACAAGCAGCGTCCACAGGAGAGATTGTGCATCTTTGCACATCGCTTCAAGGTCAGAGAAAGTGAAATCACTCAGAGCGCATTTTCTGAAAACTTCCTTTGCGCTGCTTGGAAATCATTGTTATGTCCTCATTGAGAAATAGTTTCCAGGTAAAATATGCCGAGGGTAAACTAATTATTCTATATTTTAATGATAAATAACAATACTTAGTGATCGATTATAGTTAAAAAAAAGTGCTCACGCTCGGAAGAAAGTAAGGAATAATGTAACCGAAATGTCGAGCGTATGATGAAGCTGCGGCTTAGAATGAACATAGACATATTTAGAACGTGATTATCAATTAGTTTTGCCCCTACTAGAACTGACCGCAACTTATACCACATTCGAAGAGAGAAATTCCAAAACTTGACCATGTAGTTGACAGGTGTTGCCATACAACCTAATATATTTGTCTTCTTGGGATCCCAGCATCGCTAATTCATAATTTCTAAATTAACTTAGTGCCATGGTAAACACAAGCTAAGAGGTATTTACATCAACACAGTGGCAAACAGAACATGTTTGAATATTGAAGCCTTTTGTACCACGACTGGGAATAGCTAAAGATGTAAATCTTCCAGAGCCGCCTTGTAAACCCATTGTTACCATGGGTGCAGTAGCCGGAGTATTAATATACATTAATAGTAATTTATGCAGATGACTTAAGTGAATCTAATATGAGAGTCGGACTGATTTTTTAATTTGTACGCGGTATTCCTTCATATGAGAACTAGACAACTAATTCTGACTTTTAGTATAATGTTGATCTAATCTCAAGGATTTGTTTCGTGGCGGGTCTCGACTTATATTCATGCAGTGAGTCTTTAGTTCGCCAGCATGGTCAGCCGGAGGGGATTGGGGCTCACTATTATTGATAATAAATCCTTTACTGTACCTGCAAATAATTATCGATTTACGTTTTAAGTTTTAAGGTCTTCATGTATTTCATCATCTAGTATAACGATTTCAAGAAATAGGTAAATTACAATATTTTGGTGGAAAAATCTCAGTATTTATGTTTTTCCTCAAAATGACTGTCAAATAAAGTTTATATTCTAATTTTAATTTTTCGATTTGTGTTCAGACTAATTTCTGACTTAATACACTAATTATTAGCTAATAGGAACTTAACCACAATATAATAACGGGGCAGGTTTTTAAAGTGTGTTCTGTTTTGACACAAAAATAAAGAAACAAGTAAATTTTTCCACAAATAAATTATTCACTTAAAAGGACATAATTTGCTCTGTTTCTCTGCACAATTCTTATTGGTATTTAATCATTTATCGTATATTGGGACCAGCTTTTGTGTGCTATCGTCAAAGAAGCTTACCGCTTGCTGTGACAACCTGATTGGATCATTTCGAAAACAACAGTTTTTTAGACAGCTGGAAACTTTTCATCTTAGGACGAAATCTTGAATAATCTGCACTCTTCCACTTGACAGTCCATATTTTGAATATTATAGTCGGTAATGACTGTAGGTCTCCCACTTCGTTCCTCATCATGAATGCTTGCGCGGCCATCTTGCGGGCTAACCCATTTCCGCATACTTTTCATCATTCTAAATGTTTTCGCAATACATACACTTCTCTGACTTGGCGATTAATGTCAATTGATTTGGAGCCTTGAGCACAGAGAAATGCACGCACTCCGCAGGCGGCGGCATTCTCCATAAGGGAAGGCATTTTTAATTTGAATTTTTTTCGATTTAATTTTTTTCGTAATGGCGTTTGTAGCTTCTCAAAAGATGTATCTACACGATGTACATGCGCTATTCGGCGGCCGTAGCTGCGGCGGCTAGATTTAAAAAACTAGACTTACTACTTTACTTGCATTAAAACTTTAAAAACTGTATTACGCAGCTCGTAATTAATGTATAATGCCATGCGGCAAACGCTTATCATTCAGTTCATAGTGGTGTTAGGAAATAAATGAGTTTTCAGTTTTTGACTTTTCATGAAAAGTAACCTGGATTGAAAGTACCTCCAGAGCACAATACTATAACTCCAGTGGTACGAAGGCACGGTTATTGAAACATAATTTTCATAATTCCCACAGAACTCTACTACTACTTTTATTGTTCCCACAAAAAAATATAAGTAGTAAATTAACTTCTTTGATTCTAGCAGAAAACACTTGAACACTTTGATGTTCATACCACAAGGTTAAAATCGACACATTTATTGGAAAATTGTAAATATCTGGCGTTGTATCAACGACAATGAAGCGTTGGGTGGATTGTGGAAACAATATCAAATCGTTACCAGTGCGTGTGTATTTACGAGTACATTCATTTAATTGACGAAAAATATTATTTCTATCAACAATTATCAGAAACAATAAACAAATTTTGGAAATAGTTTTCCAGGGTCTGTATTGTCTTTCCCCTAAAGATGTCCGTGGGAAGATATCTTCTTGCTATATAAAGTTAGCGCAACGAAACCCGCCGTATATCCGACGACGCACAGTACGTGTTCGTTCGTTGGACAAAACAGATCCAGACTCGATCATGAAGAGACCTTTTAAAATAAGTAACTTCGTATGAGCATTTTTTTAAAGAGAAAATTTGTTCATTTCAGAATGCATATAATTCCATTTTGAGTTTTCTTATCCTAAGCATTTAATCTCTTATACCTACATTGATAGCCGAATAGAATATGTGGAACTTGTAAAAAATTTGTTATTATTTTGTTAAAAATCCAACGAAAGTTTTGTTTGTATAAAATTACATAATCAGTAATCACATAAAACTAGATTATCCAGATCGTTTCAAATTACGATCATGAGGAAGACTAATATACCTGTTGTGTGCAACATGACTTCAACAGAACGAATAACTAGGTATAATTCTGAAGAGCGCAACGTCAGCATCACTACCAGCGACGTTGACAACTTTTGCGTTAAAAATTGCAATTGGTTCACAACAAAAACTCGTGGCTTGGTTTGTACACTTCAAGTTCTGTGCCAAACTGCGCTGCACGCTTCTGCTGTGGTCCGTGTGAGTGCATGTCACCCAGATAAAAGAGAAGCTACATTTGTGGAACCCATAGAGTAACCCGGAGAATTTAATTAAATAAAAATTAAATGGTTTTTGCAGATCGAGGAGTGATTTCACTGAGTAAATCTCAAGCGCTATTTAATTACAAAGAAAAAGTTGTGCCTGGTATAGAGGCGACAGTATTTGATTGAAGAAATTATGAATGACCGATATTGGGAAGTGATGTTTAGTTTTTCATGACACTGGTATTTAAATATTACACGTTCTACTTTTCAATCTGAGAATATCACGCAGAAGTGATACATTTGGATTGAACTGTCTGAGTAAGAAAAAACTTATTACCTCTGTAGAAGTCAAACTGTAGGTGTTGTTAAATTAATTCCACAAATGAACGCAACTAACCTGTCTAGCAAGCTTCAACAATTCTCTTTTGTCAACATCACGTAGGTTTTTCATTACGGCTAATAACCGTCGGCTTGCGTCATACAGAAATGTAACACCGAACTGACCAATTAATGAATGACTGGATACACCCTCCCCAATTCACTCGATCTTCTTCAAACGATCGTTACGTCAATGGTATTGTTGGTGTTGTACACCAGACAGCAAGCTAGACTACATTGCGTTATTGATGCTGTAGGGTGGAGCGAACTCCAGACATGATTATTTTTCTCGGTAAAGCGTTGAAGAGGCTAAATGAAAATGGAAGTATTGAGTCAACCATCGGAAGTGACAGATTAATAACAAGATACTTTGTGCATTCTTCCAGGATAAGCTGAATCTTTTTAGATTTGAGAGTCCTTCATAATAACAGTTCTTTGAAGAACAAAATTGGCAGCCTCCAGTATTTTCGTTGTCATGTTGCACAATTTGAAAATTATGTAGCATTAATGCTTTATGTTTGTTTTGACGCTCAATTAAAAAAAAATTTCAATGTATTCTAGAAAATGGAGAGGAAAGGTTTTTAAAATTTTATTTTCAATTCAGATGCAAACTCAATTAATTAAAATTTTGTTGATCATTTTAAAATTAGCCAGAATTTCACCTTGTTTGATTATATAATAGCAAGTATTTTGTATAATTTTGCCTTATCGCGGGCATGCACAAACTTTCAAGAATTGGCGCCTCATTTTGTTAAAGTTTCGGAACAATTTATGAGGTTTTACTCGTTAACATTTATGTTCGTCAGAGGACGGAGCTTAGCTTGCATGATCAACACAGGCGAGGGCCAGCGCCTTAAATCGTGGTAAACATTTTTGTTATAAAAGGGGAGGCTG